AGGTTTCCCCCATTTACGGGGAACAAGGGAAAATTTTTCAATTTTTGAGAGTAATGTCTTCGACTAGATACGATTTGTGATCTTTTGACATATCTTTGAAAGAAATTGGTTCAATGAGAGCTTAGAAAAAGTGGTAACAGACAAAAAAAAAACACATCTTAGTAAAACCAATACCTTCTCAGCTTCGCATCGAAGCTAAAAGAAACAAATTAAAGATAAGATTTATCAAAAAAATTTTCATAGAGTATACTCTATCGAATTTTGTAATCAACTAGATTCTAATCAATGCAGATACTTCGTAGTTTGTTATCATTTGTTGGACCAGAGTTAAAAAAAATTTACCTACAACCACGTTTGGAGTAATTGCTATTCCAACGTCTAGAACGTTATCTTTTTCAAATAACGTTTTCTATGAATATAAAAATGAAAATACAGCCATAATAATAACTGTATTACTCAATAGTAATCACAAATTAATTATAATTTCAATGTATGCAAGGCCTAGCACGTTTTTGATAATTCGTAAAAATAATTGAATTTAAAATTTGGGGGGGCCGGCCTTGGGCCACATTAAATCTAAGGGGGGCCAGGCCCACCCTTGTCTACGTGCCTGGTAACACCTAGGTATGAGGTGTAGACACTAATATTTTGGGTATAGGAGAGGATATAGAACAGGGGTAGTCGAGTATGAGATGCAGACGAAATGCAAGACACAAGTACTCTAAAATATCGAGAACGAGAGTAGATAGGAGAAAATGGAAAAACAAAGACTTGACCTTATGCAGTGCGCCGGACATCGACAACCGAGTACTGAGACTAATGAATGACACAAAGCACTGGAATGGACTGACCCAGATGGCCAGGCCTCTTGGGTTTAAAAAGTAATTCAGACGATTGACAATTTTTCTGTAAATATTAATCGTCAATTTAACAGTCTCTAAAAGCGAATGTGCTGTCTATATTTTATAATAATAATTTTTTACAATAATGGTAACGTGACACCATTACACTTTATATAAAAAAAATGTATTTAGGCTTTTTTTTTTTTCATTTGTAGGTATTGGGAAAAATTATCCTATTTAAATAATACCGTAAAATGAGGTGAATTGCAATACCTGAATAATGTTTTTTTTTTTTTTTAGAACGTTTATTAGAAAATTTACAATCTATACAGCTATATGTACAATAAGTAAATATGTGAATAGGAATAAAATAGACAATGATATGGTGGTGAGGAGGAAGCTCACATTAAAGCCACCTGTGTATTTTTAATTTTAAGTGGGTTAAATAATATTGAGAAGGTCTCTTGACCAGTTGCGTTTGAGGCGCCTGTTTGGATTGCTCGAAAGAATTGTTGAGTGTAGCTGAGTAACGAGACGGTTTGGATGGGATTGCATTTTGGAATGTAGTCTTTTGTAGTATATGTGTGCAGTTTTTTTAACTGTTGCTATTTTGAGGTCTTCGTGGAGGGTGTTGTTGGTGACGTACTACGGTGCTTTGGTTATCATACNGAGGGTGTTGTTGGTGACGTACTACGGTGCTTTGGTTATCATACATTTTACATCATCATTTTATGGAATCTAGAGATGAGGACGATTTAGTTAACAACATTAGATTTCCCCTAACATCAAAACTCTATTTTAATTTTATGTTTAAGTTGAAAAATCTCAAACATTGTTGCAATTCACTTAACTATACGGAATATATGTGCTGTGTTATAAACTGGCTAGGTAATTTTGTTTATATTAGATACTCGATTTCTCTTATAAAATAATTTGATTATGAAAATAATTTTTGGTATTTTTTACTTTCATATATTTCTCAATTTATGTGTGTAATGTAAAAATACAGTATTTTATTTTCAGAGATATAATTCATGTGCGATTTAAAAGTATATATTAGGACTTTTAAAATTATATAAAGACTGAATACGTCAATTAAGAAATAAAAATCTTCATCTTATTTTTTCTTACCTTAATCCCAACTACTTAGTGTCGGCCGACTCTTATCCTAAATTTCCACACGATCCCCACATCAGCCGTCGTCATATCGCATTCGATAATATCCCTTCATCTCTTTTTTGGTCTTCCTCCTAATTAAGAAACAATAATGAGCCAAAAAATATTATTAAAAAAGAAATGTTTTAAATTTTAATATTTTTTTAACAATCATTTGAAAAACGTTACGTTGAGGATTTGTAGATAAGCCATCCAAAAATAAAATTAATCTCTCAAAAAATATTGATATTCAATCTTAATGTAAGATAATCGCTTCGCAGCTAAAGCTTAACATAATAATAATAGTAACGCATTATTATAAGAACATAAGTAATTAGTAAATCAAGAATTAATAAATCAATTTTACAGTGAATTATGTATTTATGAAATTGTAATACAATGTGATAAAAAAAACGGTAGCACAGTGGGGTCGAGGCACAGTGTGGACGAGGCATAGATGGGACAAGTATAGATGATATCTGACAGTGATTAAAATCACTATCATAAGAAACGCTTCGATGCAAATCTGTAGATAGTGTTTCCTTTAGAGAAATTGGTGAAATATTTTAAAAGCAACATGAACTCTTATTTCTTTAATTATATCCTGATTAGTAGTTCTTTGATTTTAAAATATAATATATGAATAAATACTAATTATAGTTTTTAAATTTAGTATGAAATTGTGAGGCCAGCTATGATGTATGGTTCATAGTGTTGGGCGGTTGATAAGAAAGTAGAGCAGAGAATAAGTGTAGCAGAGATGAGAATGCTTAGTTGGATGAGTGGAGTGACTAGAGAAGATAGGATAAGGAACGAGCATATAAGAGGAAGTATAGGTGTTGCGTCAATCGTGGATAAGATGACAGAAAATAGACTTAGATTGTTTAGTCATGGTATGAGGAAAGAAGAATCGAAAGCTGTAAGAACAGTTATAGAAATGAATGTTGAAGGAAGAAGAGATAGAGGAAGACCAAAAAAGAGATGGAGGGATGCTATTGAATGCGATTTGAGGACAGCTGATGTGAGCGTAGAAGATGTGGGAGATCGTGTCAAGTGGAATCTTAGGATAAGGGTGCCCGACCCCAAGTAGTTGGGATTAAGGCAAAGAAAAAGAAAAATATTACCAGATATTCCGGTGGCAATTGACATAATATGATTGTTATTTCGGAATGTACAATTTAGCGTTTAGTTGGGTTTAAATAATATAGCGTCAAATCAATTACCTACTCTATCGGTTGTATCTCAATATACACTACACTTTAATGATACAATAAATAAATAAACTCACACATACACACATATGCATTTATAACATTGTGTCTAATGTAAGTATAACATGATAAAAAGTAACCGTAAAATGAAAAAAATGGAATATAAATTTTATTACTCATATTAAATGTAATGTAACTCGAAAAATATTTGTTTAAATGAAAAAATATAAGATTATATTTTTATTTATAATTGTCTTTTAAACAACTTTTGTGCGAAACTTTTTTTTGTAAGTTAAATATTTTTTTTTGAGAAAATTAAGAAAGCTCATATTTTTGAACTTTTGCGAGGATTTAAAAAAAAAGCTCAATTCCAATCTTGAGGACTATTAGTATGTCATTATACATATTTTAATTCAACTTTTAAAAAAACAAAATTTTTTCCGCAATTTTTCCTTTGTTGACAGGCCTAGATGTCAATTTTAAACTTGTAATTGAGCTAAAAGTTATGGTAATATATTCAATTTATTTTACTATAAACTTTCATAAATCTTTATCAAAAATTTTTCATCAACTTTAAAGAACCAAAAAAATAGGTTAAAATTGAAAATTTGGACTGATTATTTTTAACATATTAAAAATCAAATCAGTAATAATTTGAAAACAAATTTTTTTTTCTTTTAATTATTATTTTATATATATAATTAGTAATAATATAAAAAATTAGAAGTGATAGAAATAGTCTACTTGCAGATTTGAAAACAACGCGAAAATTTGATTTAGAAAAGTATATTTTTGCTTCTGATGAAAGTTCCTTGTAGTCCAGTGCATTTTTTTATAGTAACAAACAGTTTTTATTGAAAATTATTGTATCAAGCCCTTTAAATTTTTATACACGTAAAAGTAAAGCAAAATATAACTTCTTTATTATTTTTATAATTTCTCCGTTTAAATTACAATATTAAATATCAATTTCATACTAAATTTAATAATTATAATTAGTATATATTCATATATTATATTTTAAAATCAAAGAACTACTAATCATGATATAATTAAAGAAATAAGAGTTGATGTTGCTTTTGGAATAATCCACCAATTGCCTAATTAAAACAAAAAAAAAAAAAGTTTGTTGGGAATTTTTTCTGCTATTCTGCAAAATTACTCCTTCGTTGACTAGAATGAATCATTAAATAGAAAATTTTATGAGAATTAAAACAATGTTATTTTTAAGATTAATATGCAGTCAGAAAGTTTTATAATTATTATTTATTGTAAATTTATCAGAAAAACTCATTATTTTTTGCATTTTTATCGTAATAGAACACTTAAATAGAAATCATAGTAATCATTTCTAAGTAATTTTTGATATTTAAAAAGATTCTACTATTGAAATATCCAGAACTGAATTAATTTTAATGATTTACTTTAACTAAAAAAAAAAAAGTTAATATTTTGAATCCCTCTTGTGGGCAGGTAAAGGGTTAGATTTATAAAAAAAACCAAATGATAGATAAAGACATGCATCTAAATAAAAAAAAATATACTGATTTGGTCATTTTTGATAAAGTTATAACAATTAACAAAGTTATAAGTTTTATACACTGGACTACAAGGAACTTCCATCAGAAA